AATGGGCTATAAAACTGCGTACTTAGAATTTTTCTAAAAAATCTGAATAAAAAGTTGCAAATTAGTGTGCAAATTTAATGCATTTTCCTGAGTTTTGCACAAAGTTTAGAGATTTTATTATTATGTTTTCTGGTGTAGAATGAACGATAATTTTATAAAAAATTATCGAAGATGAATTAGAATAAATAATTTTGCATATGTTGCGAAAAATTCACTGTGCCAATACTTCTGTTCGGCACTGTATATATTAAATGAAAGAAAATACCGAAAAGCATTGAACACTGCACACACCTAAGGAAAAGTGAATTATAACGAAATACTAATACAGTGGCAGCACTATAGCTATTTTGGAATCACAGTATAGTTCTATGGGGAAAGCTGTTGAATAATATTTTTACTATGGTGAGACAGTTTTGCCAATCTGCTGTGTGAAATGAAATATTTTTTGACAGCAGTAAATTTTTGATAACCGCAGAATTATTTGGAATAAAATATTACAAATTGAAGTGAAATGAATATTTTAAGAAAACATCTACCATCGTTGATTGCAATTCATCTATTTAAGCTTTTATTTAACGAAAAATTACACACATCAACAATCTTTGCGATTGTCCAAATTTTCTATGCATTTGTGAAAAATTTCACTAGCCTCATGAGCTACATAAATTTTATTCACCTCATAGTTGTCAAAAATTTACTCGACGCAAACTTTGTTACCGATTCACACGCTCTATATATACAGTAATAAAACTTTTTGAGTACTCCTCGGGGGTAAAATCTGATCAGGGTTGATAATGAGAAGGATCATGAATTTTGTTGATTCAGAGTTGTGTACAAAATTATTCTGGTATGAAAGGGAGCAAAAACCGTACTATGGCAGGGTGGCACAAGTCATGACTCTGTAATAGTGCCCGAAACTATTGCAAAAGTGTAAAAACATTGCAAATTTTTGTCTATTATTATAGATACTAGTATAGATTATCATAGTTCAGTGTATAATTTGTTATATTACACCGCACATGATAATGAACTGTTAAATGTTGAAAACGCTTGTAACTTGTAGACCACTCAAACTTGGGTGCGCTTAATGGACTGTCTGGTCGGATGTAATACCCCTATATTGGCAGTAAGAGCTAGTACCGTCCGAAAACACTACAGTACAGATATATCAATAAACACGTACGAAAGAAAAGGAACACATACGTTTATAAATAAACATGTACACGACACATATACAAAAACGGCATTCAAGTACACAATACATTGACAAAAACGGTACTAGACTGTCTCGCTTTGATTTCGGAATGCTTACACATAGAGAAGTTAGCTTACTGCCAATATAGAAGTATTACATATATGGCTGGCAATCATTGGGATCTGTATAACTATACTAACCTTGTTTTTTTTAAATAAAGACTTAAATATATTCGGAAATTTAGAAATTGGCTTGATAAATAAACAAAATTTACGGTTTTCATAAATAATTTAATCTTATAATGGACTTTTTTAGTTTAAACTTCCATTTAAGAAAACTCCATTCAATGCTATAATTATGATTTGAGTTTTCCAGTCTATAAAACACAAGCGTTATTTATGTACCTAACTATTGATATTATTCTTCATTACGCATGAATATCAGCATACATTAAAAATGAATATTATACTTAGGCTGTGTGCGAGTTTACCTAAATTTTAGTACCTAAACTAATACTCCACTGGGAATTTCCGGCACTGCTACAATTTACGAAAACAGCTGCTAAAACTGTGCGAGTTCGTTCGACAACCTAAATTCTTTGTTTTGGAACTGTTGCTTTTAATAAATATATCTATAAAATGGATAATTTTGCGGTAGCTTTGGGACTATTTAACAATATAATATATTTGCAAGAGAAAAGGAGAATGTTCCATCCTGGCATCTATAAAAGAATCCGTTTGCTCTTCTGACCCTGCGAAATAATATACATCCATCGAATTACACATATACTTATCTGAATGCAAAAATCAAATAGCAATGATAAAAATTATTTAAAACATAAAAAAATCGTTGTTCACTTAATCGCTCGCTCAAATATATTTGACTGTTCAATTTAGGTTGAAAAGTATGCACGCAGAAAATCTGAATTGTTCCTATTCACTGCGTTACCGACACTTTCCAGTGATTTAGGATTTTTCTCTATTTAGATACCAATTTAGACGTACTCGCACACAGCCTTAACCTACATTTTGTTCATAAATAACACATAATTGTGTATATTTTATCCTCGAAATGTACTTTTTCTAATCACACAACCCAAAAGTACTCCTAGGGACCAAATCGGTAAAAACTGCGAAAAGGTTTATTACTGTATATTCTGTATTTGGAATCTTGCGTTTCAGTTCGCAAAGATTGTCAAACCAAGTTAGCAACTTTGAAATAGAAAAATTAATTATCAAATGGGTACAAAGTCATGTAGGCATGAATTTCAACGAAAAGGCGGACATAGCCGCTAAAACAGCATTAGACTATGGCAGAAGTCTAACGATCGATCTAACACCTCAGGAAGCTATAAGGAAAATAGGACGTACCTTATGGGAGGAAACTATATTATAGATCAAAGCATTACATTAGCATTACAGCCACAGCACGAAAACCTTGGTTTATGACCGATAAATATAGGCTTAAATATGGACCTTACCATTATCAAACTCATCAACAGACTAATGACGGGGTACACATACAATAACTCCTTTTTACAACTTATGCATACCCACCATGCAAAACATGAGAAATAGGCAACAATCGTCAATGGCAACAAATTGGCGACTCACCGGTTTATTGCTGTGGTGACAAATCGGCAACAACATTTCTTTCATGTCAACTTTGGAATAAATAAGTTATCAAAAATTCCTAAGCTTATAAATTTCGCGTTGATAGTATTATCCAAAATCGTCTAATTTTTACCAGGGACAGAATTGAAAAAATAGGAAGCCCCATAGGGAAAGAAAGAATTATTTCTGTTTCTATATAAGCTCCAATTTTGTATACAAAAAATGATTGAAGTATTAAAAAGAATACAATTATTCCAAATATCGCCTGAAGCGATAAGAAAATGACTCATTCAGGTAATAAGAAAACGACTCACCCAGGCGAGTTGCCTTCGGCGGACATTTTAGAGCGACTGGTAATAGGAAATCGACACGATGGCAATATTACCGGCAATAAATTTGTTACCGAGGGCGAAACGTTTTCTTATTGCCGGCAACAAAAATTGTTTGGTGGGTAGCCACATCTCAAACATGTGTAATAGTTGTTATCATGATAAAAAAAATATGAAGATAGAACCGCTGAGAGGAATTTTTCAAATTCTTTACGTTTGCAAGCAATTTAATAATAAAATTTTACACACAAACTCACACACACATTCTCATTTTCATTCTCAAACAACAATAACTTCCCAGCAAACATTTGGAGTCATAAATGAGTCTTTAAGGAGTCCCATTTCGGAGCCTTTGTGCTCATAATGAGCTCATTTAAGAGTCCGAAATGAGGATCTTTCCCTTCCTGCGAAGGTCGACCTATATGAGCTTAAATTCATACATCAAATGAGCCTCAATATGAGTCATATTGGACTCTTATTGGCGTCATATACGGCTCATTTTGAACTCTTTTTGAAGCTCTTAAATGACTTATTGGCCTCATAAAGGCCTACTTTCGGAGTCTCATTGTATGCTGTTCTGTGACTCTTATTGGCTTTATTCTTCAACTCAAATACTGTTGCATATTTATATACATACCTCTGCGCATACACATGTATATGTACATATGTATATTGCAGCATACATGTAATAGCAGTTACTGCAGCTAAATTTTGTTTATTTTTCCTTCCTAATTATTTTTCATATCTGTATAAAAAAGTTTAGATATAAATTTCTAGTCGTTATGGCACAAAGTGCTGGCTCATAACTTGGATCATATATGACTCCTAAAAGATTCATATAAGAGTAAAAAAATTTTTGTTTCTGAAACTCATATTTCTTACCTACCTAGGACTCCTTTCCGACTCATATATTCTGAGCGCTCAGAATATGTTTGCGGGGTTTGAACAATTCCTTTTTTTTTTACTCTCAATTTTATACGATTTTAAAATGTTGGCAAACTTCAAAAAAAAAAAATCATGGCCGACGCATTGAGAGAACGGTTTTACCTTACTATGCTTTTGTCATGGTTGTAATTTCATAGAAACACCAAATCATTGAATGCTCCAAATACAGGCAACCGAGAAACGACTTTCACATTTTTAACAAATTCGATAACATTGAAGAAGTTCTTTATTTCTATTTATTCATTCTGAACGTTTGGAATAAACTTTTCTGTTTATTTATTCTTTAGAACGTTCCTGATGATATGTTGACGTATATTTCAAACGCATTCTGTTTATTCCGGCTGTGAAATGGGATTATCCGGAATGTATAAAGAAACGCAGCCAATATTATCAAGAGCTGATATCTTTCATTTACAAAGCCAACCTTGACAAAGCGCTTTAAAGCCTGACATTATGTACATATATCAAAGGGGGGAGGGGAAAATAATAAAAATAATAAGGAAAAAAGAAAGGGTAGAAATGTACACATATACATGTGCAAACAGAATTAAACATTAAACAATAAATACAGTACAAAAACTGCAATCTAAAGACTGAAGACCTACAATAAATTATAATGAAGCAACTAGATCCATTGTAATTATCGATTAGACACAATTACATAAGTACTTATATATGTAGCTCAAAGCACACACTCATGTAATCATACAACACACTAAACCACACAATATCATTTTACTTAAGATCAACATTCAGAACAATGTTACCTATTTAAATAGTACAGATATGCGGAGTACTAGTCGTGACTTGAACAGGCTGCGCCTATAAAATCTATGTAAGTAATGTAAATATCGTTTACACTCATATATACATACATATGCCAAAAGTCTTATGTCCTAACAACATTAACATTTAAGACATCAGAAACATACATAAATGTACATATACAACTCATATCTTAAATTTATCTATTGAAATCGATTATAAATGCACAAGAACTGATACCAATTTTTCCGCCAACGACAACCTCCACCCTACTACAACTGCAAAGGACATTGAAATTCTTCGCTTATCCACATAAGGCACATCGATTTTGTACAACTCAACAACACGTTAATCTGGCACTGTAAGGGCATAATCAAGCCCTGCCATCAGCTCCTTCGTAAAGAAGGAAATCAAAGGCCCAAAAAAAAAAAAAGATTGTCAACTTTTTAGTAACAAAATAATCTATCTTAGGTTGATAAAACTATGTGTTTGTTTAATAATTAAGATAATTATATATTTTTATAGTGTTTAAAAAGTAAGAACAGGTGATTTAGTGAATTTTTGTCGGGGTAATTGCCCATACAAAACAACGAAATTTAACAAAAGTTTTTTGTTTATAACCTTTAAATGGTTAATAATATAAGCCCTCTCCTTGTGGATTGTTAATAGGGAACCGAAACGCGTCGTTTGGTACCACTCCCGACTCTTCCGGACCTTTTTTAGCGATTCTTACCCTATACTAGAGAATTACCCAAATTTCCGTCATCCCTTGCCAAATTTGGTTTGGAGACAAACCGGTTTCGGCGTTGTGCCATTTTCAGTGTAATTTTTCGTTCGAAACTCGTTCCAAAATACATCGTACACCCACCCTGTCGGAAACAACAACAACCAAAAAGAAAATTTTATGCATTGATTATATCTAGTTGCATGCCGACAATCCGTGAAACTAACAAGCGTATATGCGACAAAGTACTACATCCTACTGAAGAGGAGATTGATAGGAAATACTTGTTTAATTTGCCAAAGCCCCTTCCACGAAGAGAGATACAAAAACGGATTGATGAGGAAAAGGAATTGATGTCAACAAGATAAATAATAAAATTTAATTTTAATGGATCGCGAAACACGTAAAGCGAATTTAAAAAAGCTCCGTTTATCCGGTATAAGGCATATTGGAAAAAGCGGTGAACAAAATTTACGGTAATATACACATGTACATATATATCTACTAAACATGTGATTTTGTCCATAAAGTGCAATTGTAAATAAATATTTTATAATAGTAGCCTCATAAACATAACATTTTATTTTTAAGGAAAACTCGATCGGTGCATCCGACCATATCAAAATATTTTACCACTCCGATTTCAAATGAGTTAAAAGACACATTATCTTATAAAGAGATGAACAATGATTGCGTCAATAAATTAAGTACTGCGGATGAAACATCTTGTAGTAAGGTATACAATTCTGAAGAGGTCATTAACCCGAAAAGCAGGAAGCGTATTAATCTAACTGACTTTGTTCTTAAAGAGAGCAAAAATGTGGAAAAAGGTGGAGAGATTTTCAAATTTAATAATAAAGACGCCGTTGAAATACCACAAAAGAAGGTTAAGAAACCAAAAAAACTGCCATATTCAAAAAAGTCGGCAAAGTTCTCGATATTACGAGGTGCCAACCAAAAGGATATTAAGACTTCTCTTCTGCGGAGTGAACATGCATTCACAGAAATTGCTTCACAACATTGTAGAGTAGATAGCTTTAGTACAGATGAAATAGTTCTTGCATTGGCTTTATCAAAATCAGAAATAGAAAACAGTGGTCCAATTTGTTTGGATCCTGGAGAAAGCGATGCTGATCTGGATGACCATGACGAGCTAAAAAATATTCCGAAAATACTCCAAGAATATGGATTCCGTACAAATTCCTTGGAAGGTAGGTATTTAAACAAAATTTTATGGAACTACAAACTAGACAGTCAAACAAATATTGCTTAGGAATTAAATTAAAAAGCACTTATAATTTTTACGGTAACACCTGAATGTAAAATTACGTTTCAGTAGCACAAATAACAAGGCTGTGTGTTCACTGAAAGACAAAACTCTATTCTCTAAAAGCTATTCCAATGTACTCCTTTGGTAATCAAATCAAATCAGTCTGCGTATTATATTTTCTTCGCTGCTCTACTTGCGGACACAAAGATTTAAATTGTCTAGAAGTAGGTCGGTGTTATGTAGACAATGTTTGGTTTGGCAAACACGTTCGCTGGTTGGGGAAAATTTTACTAAAAGGTGGCAAAAAAATAAAAAAAAATAGGGAAAGTTGTAGAAGGTGAAATGTCACCTATATGGCAACATTATCAGAGTGCAACATTTTATGGACAGAGCACGCAATATGCATGTGAAAATGCTGAGAAAAGAACACGAAACTTGACAGCCCTGGCGCAGGGCGGAATAAATGCATCATTACTTTGAGAAAAGAAAATGCTATGAAAATGAAGAGCCCGCCCGAAGATCTCGGTTAATATATCCGTGGTTGTCGTCAAGCACTACAACGGAAGCCCCAGGAAGCATGTAGCCTCAATGGGGTCGATCCACAGGGACAAAGGCGTTAGTGTTGTCGGGTTTTCCGAACATACGAAGAGATGCTGTAGAAGGTGAGGGTATTCTGATTCTAATAATAACAGCCCTGTCGCAGGGCGGAATAAATGGAACATTTCGAGAAAAGAAAATGCTATAAAAATGAAGTTGAAGTTGCAAAGGTCAGAGATTTGTTCTCAATACAAACTTAATCGATTTTATCACAAAAAAGTGGGTTGTTGTTGTGTTGCAGCGTCTACAACAACCCCGCCCAGATCGGTTAATATCTCGGTCGTTGTCGTCAAGCTCCACTAACGGAAGCCCCAGGAAGTGTGCAACCTCAATGGGGTCGGTCCACAGGGACAAAGGCGTTAGTGTTGTCGGGTTTTCCGGGCATACGAAGAGATGTTGTAGAAGGTGAGGGTATTCGGACTCTAATAGCGTTTTCTTTTCTCTAAAAAAATTCCACCTTATATGGCAACATTATCAGAGTGCAACATTTTAAAGAAAGAGCACGCAAATGCATGTGAAAATGCTGAGAAAAGAACACGAAACTTGACGGCCCTGGCGTAGGGCGGAGTAAATGCAACATTATTTGGAGAAAAGAAAATGCTATAAAAATGAAGAGCCCGCCCGACATTTCTTATAATTTTTAAGTAATTTGCTGTTGAAGTTGCATAGGCCAGAGATTTGTTTTCAATACTGTAAAGGAGTCGTTGTGAGCAAGCGAAGCGAGGGAGACGTATCTTGTATCGGTCGCTGGCGAGAGTACATACACACAATCAACCATCAAATACATACTTATATTCTATTAATCTTTAATAAATAAATGTTGGAATTGAATTTAATTACATTCGAGTTTATTCCTAACAAGTCAGAAGTGAAATTCACTGACGCCTACAAAAGTTAAAAAAAAGAAAGAGCGGAGAATTTGGTGAGATATAGAATTAAAGTGCAAACGAACGCAGAAATCTAACGTGACCGCAAAAATAGCATACATATCTTTTGTACTACAGTGCAGTCAGAGCGCAACACGGCGAACAGCAATCGTGAAAGAGACGAGAGCAACCGAACGTTAGAATTCAAATCAAAGCAAATGGGATAATTTTTTTTGCTGAAGGAGAGCAGCGGCCATCCATCCAAACGCAACGACACCAAAAGTTAATAGCAACGAGCCAATACGACTAAATAACGAGCAACTTCAGGTTAAAGTGACAGCGCAACGTACACGACGGTGACTGGAAGTCAAGCAACGACACAACGATCATTAAAAACCAAAACGAAGCGCACGGTAACGAAGAGGCACGTAAATACAACGTTTATTGGAAGCAGAACAACGATTCAACGAACACGGCAGTGATAGCGCAACGTATATACATTAGACTGCATCACTCCCTATACAAAAGAAATCGGTACTATTTTTCCATTGGAATTATAAAATCTATTATATTTTAAGACGTCCACTGGACCGATTTGAAAATACCTCCAAAAATGGAGGTAAAGTAAATAATAAATAAATAATAAATAATGAATAAAAATAGTTTTTTAAAGATTTTTTTTTGGAAAAATCCCCTCAAATGACAAAACGGTTTTAGCTTTAAATATTTGCATAGAAATATTAAAAAAAGAAAAAAAAAATTTGAACGGAATCGTAATGATGAGATTTTTGATGCTATTTTTTTTTAACTTTTTTCAAAGATTGGTATAGGAAAAACTTGAATAACTGAACCTAAACTCTTCCGATTTAGACTTAAGAGGTGTCATTGGAAAGGTATTTTCTCACCCTTTTTATTTCTTTGCTAATAAACTCATTCAAAGGATGGAAGAGAAAGGTAGGATGAACGAACGTCACTCAAAGTTGAATTAAGATGTGTTGGTATTCGAAAAAACAAGATGGGACACGAATGACGTGTTTTTGGCCAGAAATAAAAACAGTGTGAAAATACCTTTCTACTGAGATCCCATAAGTCTAAATCAGAATAGTTTTGGCCCAGTTATTCAAGTTTTTTGTAAACCAATCTTTGAAAAAAGTAAAAAAGCAGCATCAAAAATCTCATTTTTGCGATTCCGTTGAAAAGATTGTCAAATATTTTTATGCAGATTTTTTAAGCCTAATCTAATTTGTCATCTGAAGGGGCTTTTTTCAAAAAGTTCTTTAAGAAACTATTTTTATTCATAAAAAACTTCATTTTTGGACGTATTTTCAAATCGGTCCAGCTCGCTTAAATCTTAATATTTTTCCGAAATATTTTGGTGGATGTCTTAAAATATAATAAATTTTGTAATCTCGGCGGAAAAACCGCTACTTTTTTTGGTGATGGAGTCTAATATACATACATCTGCTCTACACAACGTTTACTGGAAGTCAAGCAGATATACAACAATCGTTCAAAAGCAAGTCGCAACGAACGGCAACGAAGAAGCATGTAAATACAACGTTTATTGGAAGGACAACAACGATTCAACGAACAAAACAGGGACAGCAACAATAAGGAGCATTTTTGTAAAGTCAAAAGCAACGAAGCAGAGACGCAGACAAACAACGTTCAACATAGGAGAAGTACAACTAAAACGCGTAACGCAAGGTTTTGGCTTCACGGATACTCGTCGGTAGCGGAGCAGGGAAAAACTTGGCAGAAAATTCGAGAAGAATAGCAACGCGGATACACGACATTTGGAAAAAAGAGGAATAAGAAACATTTTTGGGCAGTTCAACGATTGCGGACGGACAGGAAATTGGAGTGTCGTCGATTAAATAAGAAAAGCGTGGAATGCATTTTATTAATTGAATATTAAAAGAGAATTTAATACAGCATGATAAAATTAGTGTATCTTTAAGGGTCAGCCAGCTTAATCAACTGCTGCAGAACAGCAACGTTGCGATGACGGGCACGAAGACCCATAAGGTAGCAAAGTTGCAGGAAATTTTGGGCAGCGACGAGATTGATCCGGCAGAGTTAGAGGAGGAAGGTAACGATTTCCCAGCACAAATCAATGGACTTTAGGAGGCCATGGCCACGTTGGCTACAGCCATCAGCACCTTGAATGCTACGCGTACACTAGATCGTACCGACAAACAAGCGTAGCAGAGCAATGAGGGTTTAGCACAAGCACCGACGGTTCCAGTGGGGAATTTGACTAATGAGCAACAAACAGCAACGCGTGTAACGATGTCAATACAAGACATGGTAGGGGTCATGCCGGATTTTGATCCCATCAAGGACCTTACCTCAGCACAGCAGTTTGTTATCCGAATTGAGCAATTGCGTTGAGCGTACGGCTGGCCAGAAGATTTGGTTCTCGTAACAATGCAGCACAAACTGAAGGGTGTAGCCAAACGATGGTTGGATTCGCTAGCTGTTTTTAGCAGTTGGGAGCAATTCGTAGATGCTTTTCAAAGAGATTTTCCGGTCAAGTGCAACGCAGCTGAAACGCACAAAGCACTATTAAGACGCAAACGTAAGAATGGGGAAGATTACGTTGAATACTTTTACACAATGCTAACGATGGAGCATCAAGGCAACCTTGACGATAATTCTATCATTTCCCATATCATTAGCGGGCTCAATGATGTGGCATTGACAAGAAATTTAGCGACTATGAATTTTGCTTCGTGCAGTGAGTTACTAGTGGCTTTAAAGAATTTGACTGCGATTACGGGGGCTACAGTGACAGCTCCACTTCACAATCAGCAGCAGGTTAAAATAGAAGGCAAGGACAGTAGTAAGTCAACGGGGCCTAAGTGCTTTAATTGCAATGAGTACGGGCACATAGCAAAGAAATGCCCGCGACCACAATGCAAGCAACGGTGTACAGTGTGTTCCAAGGTGGGCCATGACTCGAAAAGCTGTAGCAACAAGCCTACTGTGGTGAAGATAATGGAACAAGTCGAAAATGTCGAAGCGCCTCCGGTAATAAAAACTGTGGTGTTGAATGGGAAGAGTTTTGAAGCGTTCATAGACACAGGTAGCGTGAGTTCATTGATCAGGACAATGGCAGCAGAAGGTATGAATAGTATCGAAACTTACAAACGATTCATCGGGTTCGGAGGGTCAGAAGTTCGGGTTACGCGCAAAGTAGATGTAAGCGCACTTATAGATGGCAAGTCACTTCCCATCACACTTTATATTGTAAACGACAACATGCTACCTTCCAATATATTATTGGGTCGCGATGTTTTACAGAACAGTGAGAACCGCATGGTAATTGATGGCGGCGTACTTAGTGTAGATGAAGTTGGTAGTAAGGAATTCAACATTCTCGCCAGCTTAGACAAGGAGCAGCGCGAAAAGTTACTAAATCTTCTAGACACCTACCGATCAAGTTTCGCAGAGGATATCAGCCACCTGGGAATAT